CTCTCCGGCTCTAACGATAAGATTACTCCGAGTTGCAGAGTGAATTGTCAAAAGAAATTGCAATAGATAAACAATAGGAAAGCTGAGCAACGCAAAGAAAATGTAAAAAATGATACATTACTCTTTCATTCTATAAATTATTGCTTTAGGGAGTCCATGGATACGACCCGACATACGATACATTTTTTTTTCCTCAATTCTGTATATATTCACACACACACACACACAAACGTGTATATATATGTATGTATGTATGTATGTGTATATATATATATATATATATATATATATATATATATATGTATGTATACATATGTATACACATATTTATGTGTGTGTGTGTATGTAAGTATATGTAAATATATATATATACAGTACGTTTATTTATACATATATATGCATATATATATGTACACACACACACACACACACACACACACACACACACACACACACACACACACACACACATATACATACATGCATACACACACACACACACACACACATATATATATATTATATATACATGTATATATGTACATATATATAATAACAAGTATCACCTGTCCCCATACCCGCAGGACGCCGAGTAACAGTGCCAAATCGCATGAGTATTACATTTTCCCTCAAGTAGACTCACTAAGGAACAGCCAAACCGCCTGTATGTAATTACAGTGCATCACAAAATCAGGAAGGAAAGGCAATTCATGCCGCTGACCAGTCCATCTGATGGCCTGGCGCCCATCTCGCCAAAGTATTGCTTGTCACAGGAGGTACAAGGAACAGCATAGCCCACCCACCTTCGAGGTCGAGGGAGGAAAGGTGTGGACCAGGTTGCAAGAGAGAGTGTTCACCTGGCGAAAGATCAGCCTGCAGTTGAGAGGTTGAAGAGGGCGATGTAGAGAGTAGATCTCCTCAGTGTAGGGCAGGCTGAGAATGGGCAGGTAAGGAGTGTCTTTAGGAGAGGAATCATGGTAGAAAGTATGCTGTGCCCTAGATAACACGACGTCGAGAACATGACGCGGGTAGCCCAGTTTGGGGAACGGATGATGTAGGAAGTCTATCACTCCATCCAGGTACAGGGGATCGCATATGTAGAGGGCGCAAAGGAACAGCAAGGTGGCAACACCTCTCTTTACATGGAGAGGGTGGTATTAGAGGTAGTGTATGTACATACCACTATGCAAAGGCTTCCAGTATATGGGGGAGATGAAGTCCTGAGAGTGGCAGAGGTGAGCAGGAGAGAAGGTGCCGAGAAAGGGAGTGAAAGACTTCGCCAGCCAGGCCGCAAGAGGGTGCGTCACATATCCCCGGGAAGAGGGGGTCATGAAAGTATTATTAAACAGGGACATAATAGAATTAGCTTACCTAACAAAGACTATCAATAAAAAAAAGAGAGAAGCCGCAAATTCAGTACTCAAATAACAAATGAAAGAGTGATCTCAGGTACCAGCATGAAAATAGCTAAGAGGCGAATAGGGAGAAATCAAATGTATGCAATAAAGAAACCAGACGGAAAAGTGAAACACAATGAGAATTATATCATAAGAGACCTTTACAGGGATCTACACTACTCAAATGAACATCCAAGAATAGAAGCGAATGCGGTAACTAGAGACTTACCTAACATCACAACAGAAGAAATAAAAAAGGAGTGTCTAATGGCATGAGAGGTTAAACACCAGGGGAAGACTTTGTATAGACCTTATAATAGATGCAGGGGAAATTGCAACAATAGCCAATCTTTTTAACAAATGTCTTTTCAATGGAAAGACTCTGAAAGCCTGGAAAAATGCAACAATTATTTTTATTAAAAAAAAGGGTGTTAGAAAGGATCTAAAAAACTACCGACCCACAAGCCTCCTCTCAGTTACTTAAAAACTGCTCACAAAAGTCATCACAACTAGCATCTCTGACAGTTTGGATTCTAACCAGTCTAGGGAACAGGCAGGCTTCCACTGTGGATTCTCAAAACAGACCATACACACACAAATAAGAGAAAAAATAAACAAATATAGGAAACACCTGCGTATGGCATTCATAGACTACGAAAAGGCATTTTACTCAATACAAAAAATGGCAGAAATAGAAGCTATTCGAAGACAGGGAGTAGAAGAGGTATGTTGTAAAATATTGGAAGATACATACGAAGATGGGACAGCAACCATCAAACTCCACATGGAGCTTGATGGTTGCTGTCCCAATACCAATCGTAAAAGGTGTTTGACAGGGCGATACCATCTCACCAAAATTGGTCACAGCTTCAGGAACTATTCAAGATGCTAGAATGAAACAGAAAGGGTATCAAAATGGGAGACGAATACCTATACAATCCAAAATTTGTAGAGGATATTATTCTCTTTAGTGAGTCTACAAATGAAATACAGGACCTAATAAACGATTTCAATAGAGAAAGTCATAAAATCAGACTTAGAATGGACAAGAAAAAGACTAAGATCTTGTTTAACAGCAGAGTTCACTTCGAACAGATACATGTACAAGGCGAAGCGTTAGAAGAAGTGGACAAGTATATATACACCTTGGGAAACTCGTACAGACAGACACATCCAGTAAAGATGCATCAGTCTAGGCTGAAGTGCCTTCGGCAGTTGCATACTAAGAGGCTCCTTGCCATTATGTTAAAAAAGAAAAGACATTAACCAATGCAGCCCATCCTATGGATCAGAACCATGGAGTATAACCAAATTACTGGAGAGGAAGCAAAATGACGATGCCGATGCTGGGAATTAGCCAAAGAGATCGGATGAGGGCGACGTGGATCTGGGAATAGACCAAAGTGGAAGATATACTTGTTAGCATCTAAAAGAAAAAATGGCGATGGCAGGTCATACATGTCGGAGGCAGGACGACACAGGGACAAAGGAAGTAATGGACTTGACTATAGATGACATAAAGAGGCCAAGGGCCAGGCCAATGACAAGATGGCGTGACGAAATAACGAAATTTGGGGGTGAATACTGAAAACAAAAAACGCAAGACAATGTTGGAAACGATTGGGAGAGGCCTACGTCATGCAGCGGACTGATTCAGGCTGATTATGATGTGTGTGTGTGTCCGCGCGCATATATAAATAGATAGAGAAATATATAAATATATATACACGTATGTGTGTGTAGTCTTATGTTTAATTGCTATATTTTTTTGTGATTGTTAGTACACCCAGTTTAGGTCATATGTACTTGATCTGGAAAGATTTTGGAATAATAAATAGATGTATACATATTTTAATCTTAGATACATAGATATATACATATTTTGATCTTTGTTTCTTAGATATATACATATTTTAATGATAGATACATAGATATATGCTTATTTTAATCAAAGATACATAGATATATACATATTTCAATCATAGATACATTGATATATATATATATATATATTTTAATCCCAGATACATAGATATATGCATATTTTATTCACAGATACATAGATATATGAATATTTTAATCACAGATACAAAGGTATATACATATTTTAATCATATATACATAAATATACATATTTCATTCCGGCATTATTGATGTGCGCGAGACTCATGTATCAGTTTCTTAATTGAGTTGATTGAGCGCAGGCCTGGGTCGTCTGTGTGTATCTTCTTTGCTGAACCATATGAATTTTATGTACTTTAATTACATATCACAACGAGCCATGTATGTTTTATATTCTTTGTTCTCATGTCACATTGAACTGTATAAATTTTGTATTTTATCCTAGCAAATCACTTTTAATCAACTATTCTACTTGACATTGTTAGAAATCTTTTAAAATCATTTTGGCAGTTCGAAGCAATAGAAATATGCGACACTGCATGAAAGTAATTTTCCTAAATAACGAAACTATATAAATAGATAGACAAGTAGATGTGTGTGTGTGTGTGTGTGTGTGTGTGTGTGTGTGTGTGTGTGTGTGTGTGTGTGTGTGTGTGTGTGTGTGTGTGTGCGTGTGTGTGTGTTTGCGCGCGCCTATTTTCATACATATACATTCATATATATTTACCACACAAAAACACACATACAAACACAAACGTTCTCAAACACACACATAAACACACACACACACACACTTCTCTTTAATGCAGGCGCAGGAAATAGCCCCTGCAGTACCATATGTTGCAAGCGATAAAACATTATCTTATCACACATCACGTTGTAATACAGTAAATATATTTCACCTTTAGGCCACACTATTTTTTTTCTTGCATAGCAAACAGAACTGCCGAACGCATAATGTAGGAGGTAGGAAAAAAATAGAAATAAAACTGGTCCAAATATATATTTTTTTCTCTCTTTTGAGTGCCGTAAAAATGTAAGAGAGTAATATAT